AAATGCCTGAAAGCAGCTGAGAAGGAAAGAATGGGTGTGCCAGCCTGGTAGTCATGCTTCAAGAAACAGAGAAAGTTTTCAGGAGAAAATGAGAACAAAATCAGATTAAATAATCAAACAAAGGTCACAGCCAGAAGGAAATGCGCAGTGCATCTTTCATGCAGGGTACGGTGGCAAGGCTGTAAATATGTAAATATGTAAATACTGTTACTGGTATCTGTAATACATAGAGACACCATCAGGCAAACAAGGTCCTGTCATCATCTCTGGCACACAGGGAAAACAGGGTAACGCTGTGAAAGAGGAATACTAGTTTTCATACTTCTACTCTCACAAATGTGCTACATGTTATTTGACAAATACCAATGACCAAGACTTAAGTTCTCGTTCAGGTAAATCTAGTAAAAATATACAGTTGCTTGTTCTCACTAAAATATAGAACTTAATGTCCTCCAGCAGAGGTCACCTGGACTTTGAAGCAGGGCATAAATAGTAAGAGAATAATGCTACACACTTGTTGCTTCCCCTGAGAGGACAGAGAAAGAAAGGGCTAGAAATTTGACTCAGCTGTGAATTCTGGTGAACCACTACTTTTACTCAGAAAGGTGAATTTTCTAACAAGAATTCTTTGCAATTACCTCCTTGCCTTGAATGAGTTCTCATGATAAAGCTTAAAAGTTGTCAAAATGCTCATCTTGGCAGTTTGAAACACAATTCATTATCTTAGTTTGGGACAGAACTGCTGCTCACTTAGTATTTTGCATCTGGTTTGAGAATCAGGTTTAATTAACATGCATAGAATTCCATTTTACTGGTTAATCTGATCCAAACCCAAGAAATATTAATAAGTTGGGTCTGTAGCCATGAAGATTTTGCTGAAGAACCAGATTTAATGGGATTTTAAGGGGGAAAGAAATCATGTTATTTTAGTAGATGCAAGATAATCACAGTTTAAGAATGCTCAAGATAATCTGTGAACTTACAGGTTTTGTGCTGATACTTAAAAAAAAAAAAGTCCTATGGCCTTTAAGAAATCCCGTTTAACTAAACCGTTTTGTTAATCGTTATTTATTTTTTTTTTTTTTTTTTAAAGCTACTTCTGCTATATGTTACATCTAAATGGATTATAATAGAAGGAAATTCAATTACTTTGGTCCTCCTTGGCAGGACTTGGTGTAACTGTCAGTCCTGCTGCACCGCACGTACGGCCACGGCGGCGTTTTGTGCTGTGCAATGCAGCACTCTGCAGAAATTCCTGATTCAGTGCTGAATTAGCTGGCTCCAGGGCTGCACACGCCGAGGTGGGAACGCTGCCACGATAACTGGAGTGTCGCTGGCCCCAGCTATGCAGACCCTAATCCACAGGTAGTTTGGGAATTTCTAAGCAGCACCATACTGTGCTGGTTTGCAAACATTTTAAGATGCTTGAATACCAAATAATGGTGCATTTCTTTTCTTTTGTTCTGCTCCTTTATTTTTTGTTGTTTGTTTGTTTTGACCCGCATTAAATTTATGGGTGGATGGCACCTCAGATACTGCTAAAAGGAGTGAAGAAGACGTAAAATTTTTCTAACCCTTTCCCTCCTCTAGCACTTCTTTTATTTTCTCAAAAGTTTTTAGTGTCAGCACTGAATTCTTTTCCATAACTACAGAATAAAAAAACCCATTAAAAATATAATACCATTATAGTCCCAAGAAAATTGGCAGGAGAAGCTAAGTAGCATTTTTGGAAGACAATGAGATACCAAATTGATAGAGCTCTAGAAAAGTTATTGAATAAATTATCCATGTGCAAGCTATTGCTTTCTTCTCCTACTTTCAGTTGTGTACCAAGGCAGCTTCAAAGACTAAGATCATGGGCAAATGACTGAAGAATTTTAGATAAGAGTGGGAAAACTAAAATGAAAATAGTCTTTGCTGAGAAATGAACTGAGCAAACATCTGTAACTCAGATTTTTAACAACACTGCATGAAAACAAAGTACAGAGCACTAGCACTTTGGGGAATCACAAAGTAGAGAGGCTCTGAAGTCCTCTGAAGTCCAAAAGGCAACTAACTTAATTTATTTTTTTTCCCTTCCAGGCTTGATTGAAAATTGATTAGTGATACTGAATAGTAACCATCTTTTAAAATTAGCCAAATCTGGTCTCTAAAGTGTCCAAAAAGTAACAAGAAGAAACAAATCAGCATTTAATGATCATATTTATTCAAAAATTGTAGGCTAAGTACCACCAAGTTATCAAATGCTTTAGGTAATTTATGGAAAAACATTGCTCAAGTTTACCTATTTTCTTCTTTGATTTGTTAAATAATTTGACTTTGACTGAAAGTTACTTTAGAAAAGTATTTAGCCCCGATTTGGAGATAGCAACATTTTGAAAGCTTTATGTTCAGCTAAGCTACTCTCCTTCTAATTTTATGTTCTCCAGGTTAGGAAACAAATCTTTGAAATGTGGCAAATTAATTATGCCGGAGAAAACACAGTCTGCCTTCAAAGAGTTGTTTCGTTGACATACAGGTTACCAGGATTCAGCTATAATGATTATAAACTTGAAATATGCATTGCTAGGCTTTTGAATTAGAATACAATTACTGTATTTCTTAAGATTCTAGGCTGCCCAGCCACTTCACAGTGCTACCACATCTTATGTTCATACATTGTGGATGAAACCACAGAGGGAACGGGTCATAAAAACCATAAACCTGGCCCCAGCAATGAGTCCCGTTTCCATCCTTCAGAAGGCCCAGGCAAACAATTGCAAATTATGCAGTTGCAATGTCTGGGAAGCAATTATTTTTAACTGAAAGTGAAAAATTCACCATTTCCTGAAAAAAAGAAACCTACTTCACCTGTGAAAGGGATAGGAAGAAGGAGAGAGATTAATAAGCAGTTTCTTAACTGGTGTGAATTGGCACAGCAGTGATGTGCACATTCCCTGATGCAGCGTCACAGGGCTCTGTGTTTTCTTTCTACAGGAAAGAAAGCAGCAAGTGGCTGCAAGTAAGATGAACATAAGCCTGGAAAGTTTCTACAGACAATTATGAAAATGTAGTTTGGTCACAGAATAACTGAAATTACTCCTTTTTTTTCCTTTTTTTTTTTTTCCCCTTCAAGAGACTCACATGATGAGCTGTGCAGCAAACATCAGCAGAATGCCAGGAACAGTCACTGTATATCCAAATTTGGCTAATAAACCAGCATAAAGCATGTCAGAAAGGTGATGCATAATTTACTAAAGACAGAATTTGTTCAGTTTCCCTCTGCGTGCTGTTAATTCCATTGGAAGAGATGGTGTGGATGCCTGGAGACTTCCTTTAGCTGTGCAAATATACAACTATTTCATTTTTAAGTGGCTTTAGGGGCTGGCAAGCTAACAAAGTTTGCAAAGGTGTAAGGAAAAGAAAGAAGACTTTTTCAGTATCTATGCCTGCTCTTCAGTATAGGATTTAGAGGGTTTCACCCCTTACTATCCATATGTCATTACTGAGACAGTAGGAGACTTTACACTCTGGAAAACTTGTAATATCTTTCTAATTTTTCCCAACTCCAGGGCTGGACATGACTTGAGATTCAAGATAATTTGAAGAAACCTGAACCCTGATATTATCCATTATAGGTTTTGATCATGCTCTTCTCTTTCTGCAAACCATCAGCTTTACATAAAGGAAAGACTGAATCTCAGATGCCATGGAGATTCAAGGTAATTTCTCCATTTCAGAATGTATTGTTCAGTAGGATCACAGCTCAACTTATCTATAGATGGAGTGAAAAATTAGTTATTAACTGGAAGCATAAATCCACCTGGAAAAAAAAATCTGTATCAGTCAAACAAACAAATAACTCTGCTATTAAATGGAAAACGTTGGTAGCAAAACGTAGCAGTGCTTGAAATAATTTTCCATTGTTACTTATAGACTTCAAGTTTGGGTTTTTTTTCAGTAAAAAACTGATCCCAGGTAGCTTTAAGGCAGCTGAGAATCCATCAAATATTTTAAAATCCATAGTAATCTGAGGTGTATTGACTTCAAAACCTGGCTATAAACATCCAAAGGGAAAATTACTTACCAATATGCCACATAAATATATGTGATCTCTAGTTGAGGTCTAAGAAAGATGAAGTTGACTGGTAAACCATTAAATAATTTGCATACAAGGTGTCCTTTAAGTACATCTGTAATGATCTATCTCATTTAAAAGCAAAGCATTCACAAGTAATTAGAGAAATCTACGAAGTTTATTTGTACAAAAAACCTCAACATGACTCTGAAGAGCGGACAAGTCTTTAAGGTGGTCCTTCGAAGAGGCCCAGAGAATTGTCAGTGTATTTTCAGAATGACAGCAATGTGATTTTGACTATGGTATCTTCTAGGACAGTGAGAAAAGGGGACTTTACAGTATGTATGCTGTATATTCCAGTGTATGTACACACTTTCCAGGAATATACCTGTACATGTGGATATACATTTCCCCATTTCCAAGTTGGCAATAGGACATTTTTACTCTTGCTACAGAAAACACAGACCAGGAAGGTCTATAAAGCCTTCAACAGAATCCAGACAGACCTGGCTCTGGATCACACTCACCCAGTGTGACTGGGGACAGCGACTACCCCCGAGTGACCCGGCAGCGGGGGCTTGCGAGGCACCCATCGCCCCGACAGCCTCCAGCCCGTAGAGCATCGGGCCGTACACCGGGTACCTGCGCTGCGCTCTGGGTACCTGTGCGGTACCGCTCCAGCGGGCAGGGATGGGGCAGGAGGGAATGGGGCAGGGGTTGGGGCTGTAGCTGGGGGGGCTGGGGAAGGGGAAGGGGCTGTGGCTGGGGGGGCTTGGGCTGGGGAAGGCATTGGGGCTGGCGGAGCTGGGGAAGGGTCTGGGGCAGGGTCTGGGTCTGGGGGCGGCGCGGGGGCGGTCCCTGGGCGAGGGGAGCAGATAAAGGCAGGGCGGCGGGCGGAGTGGAGGCGGTGGCGGGCAGCGGCACAGCCGGGCTTGCGGACCAGCTCCTCCGGCGGGCATCCCCTGCCCCGAGCGCTTCTACGGACGGCAGCGGCAGCGGGGCAGCGCCATGGGGGCCGCAGCGGGGCTGGGGCTGGCGGCCGTGCTGGCGGCGGCCGCGCTGTGCGGGCCCGGGGCGCTCGCCGGGCGCGTCCTCAGCGGTGAGTGCCGTGCGGGGGCCGGTGCGGGAGTGCGGCGCTCGCAGGACCGGGAAGCAGAGGGGGAGAGCTGGGAGCGAGCCCGCTGCTTGAAGGACCTGCGTGTACTAGGCGAGCGCTGGAAGCGCCTCCCGGGCGCTCCTGCCCCGCTGCGGGAGCGCCGCCGTCCCGGCGGGGCCATCCCGGGGCTGCGCGCCCGGTAGAGCTGCAAACAGCTCCAGGTCCGGGTCCGCAGGCTCCCGCGGCAGCCTGGAGGCAGTTCCTGCCCCGTGTTGTTGGAGCTGGATGACTGCAGGCGCGCTCCGGCTCCGTCCGAGTTGTTTAAAAAAGGTCGAGCATGTGCTCGCTGCAGCGTCTTCCCGAGGAACAGCTGTGGGTTGAGATGTGTTGGCATCTGTATAGCGATATTTCTTCTTTGTTTGTAATGTTGTCAGGAGGAAAAAAGCAAACTTCTAAGAACAGGTGGCATAAATAGTTTTATTACGTGTAGGTGCGTCCACAACTCTCAGAGCAGAAAGGAAGACAGTACTTCAGAAATCTCTATGTTAGGTTTAATTTGAGAGCTGTAAGCTCATGCTGTGTGTTTCCAGTCTACGGATGCATATGCTCAGAAGCTGCTGAATTTAATGAAAAGGCTATTTTTAATTGTACTTTGGCTCAGACCTTTCAAGCTAAAGCTAAGAGGCTCTCGGAGGCACGTTACATGTGCAGCACATCCATGCATTTGCCTGGAACAAAGATTTTACATGGTCCACAGTGCTTGTTAACAAGTTGTGTAAATGTTTGTATATGCAGGTAGAAACACTTCTCTTTATGCATATGATTTGTATACAATTGTTTCAGAGGCTGTAACAGTAGCATGTCAAGAAAACTTTTCTTACAGTTTTTTGTGGGAGACATTTGATTTCTGAATTTGGATAACTTTCTTAGTTGCTGGTGGAGTGCAGACACTGACCATTTTGATCATGTTTTATTTGAAACACGTTCACGTGCAGAACTGAGAGGTGCTGTTGGGCTTTTGGTGAAACAATATCTTCAGGAAACAGTAGCTAAGTAACAGTACTTCCAACACTTTGAAAAAGCTTGCTTGCCTGAAGAGTACCCTGAAATAGTTCATCTACCTCCATGATAATGTGAATTGTACTGGCTGACATGATACATTAAAGCTCTTTGTATAACGATTTATATGAATCTTATGTAACAGTTGATTGTTAAGGAATAGTGAAGATTAATCATCAGTGAGATGTATTTTGCATTAGTAGTCTCACTACTGGAGTCCACGTGTGACAGAGGAAACCCAGTCCCTTAATCTTCTAGCTGAAGGTTCTGTGTTTGAGATGCAGCAAACTGAGTAGAGTTCCAGCTTTTAAAAATGATATATGTGTGTACTGCTTAGTCAAATTGTTCCTAGATGCATAAAAGGTTTTGGGGCTTTGAAAGAATACAGGCTCTGCCCTATATTTCCCTGAAACATTTCAAAGTGTATAATGAACCTCACATCAGTGTATTATGCAGCTAATACTTAGCTGGTAGAATACAGGGAGGATTTGAAGACACTTATAGAAGAACAATTTTTGTACTATTAATTAATTAGCTGAAGTTGTATTCATTAGTTAAATAACAGCCAAATGTTTATTACGCTTCTGCCAGCTACTCTGACGTACTGACAGAAGAACTCTTTTTAAATTTTATTTCTTCTTTTTGTCTCTTCTCTCAAGGACCACACCCCTATCCTGGAACATGCTCAGGCATAGGTCTAGTACTAGCAGTAGTCAACACTTTTTCAGACAAGAAATAGTGCTATTGAATAATTGGGTAGTGTGTGCTGTCCACCTGACTCCCATCTAGCTTATCTCTCTCCTGTATAAGAACCGACAATTTGGGCTTAAAAAAAACTTTGTATGAATTCATAAGTCTATATCTTAAATAGACCTGATTTCCTGAGAAATTGCTAATTCATGCTTCAGTCATGATAAATAATCTTGAATGATTGGAAGTGCCACTGTTCTCATTCCAAATAAATATATAATTCCCACCACTCATATAGAAGCTGTTTGTGAAACTGCCTTGAGTACTGGTTGGACCTTGTGAAATCCCATTTACTGCAGTAAGTTTGCACCAAACCTAGCAATAATTTCAAATTTGCAACCATTTTGACCACAGTGTCAAAAGGGCAGAAAAGAAAGGACCTGCCTTTTCAAAATGACATTTCCTTAAGTAAAGGGTTTCTGTTACTCTTTCCAAGTATGTTCATTTTCCTGGGATATAATTAAAACTATTGCTAGCATCAAATCATTCACATTCAGGTGTTATTTCTTTGTCAGCTTTGATTTGGAAAGTTTTGAAGAGCAGTAATACAAATGTTTTGTAATTTTTAGTGTAGTTAGACAGATGGTTTGTGAGCAGTGCTCACAGCCTCCATATCAGGGTATCTAGTGTTACCAGAGAATTGATTCTTGAAGACAAAAAAAGTCCAGGCAGGCTCAGAAGAAAGTGCTGAGTCTGCCTTGCTGTCCCATGACATCATAAAGAACATGAAGTGATGATAATGCAGTTTGCAAAGATGCAATTACTTTAAGTATCTATTGGGCAGGAGAGATGCAAGCTAATCTTATTACTAATCATTTAACAGCCTATGTATTAATCATAGATGTTATAGTTTAATGACTGCTGTTTGCTGTCTACTTGTATTTCTGTGGCTTTTTAAATTTTGCTCTTTGCTATGGCTATGCATCAATAGCAGATTAAATAGTGATGCAGTATTTTAAAGCAGTATGTATCTATTTTGGTGTAGAAGTATTTGGATATGTAAAACACTAAACGAGGAAAAACATTTAGTGGATCATGAAAGCACAAGAATTGCCCCTAAAGTATAGACTTATCTGCTTCATATGCCTTTAAGGAAGTGGATATGCTCATTCACACAGCTTATGATCAGATTTGAGTTGTACATAAAGTACTGCAAAGTAAGATAATTGAAGAAGTATCTTCATGGGTACTGAATTGAATAGACCCTTTCTCAAAAGGGTTTGACTTATTTGAATTGGCTTGGCCTGCTTATTACAGTTTTGTCTGTCAAACTGTTAAGTATTTTCTGTAGATGAAACCTTCTACTGTAAAGTGTGTGGGTTTTTTTTTTTTTATGAACAGTTCATTTTAAGATACACTTGTAGCTTAAAATTTGAAAGTATAACCTGAAAAAACCCACTGCCTCTCTTGTCTACAGGATACACGTGCAACAGGTGTGTATTGAACACATTTTAAATACCCAGCATTCAGCTCCATAGTAGAAAAGCTTTTAATACACATGCATGTCCACACAGGACAACATCTTTTTGCTCAGTTTTAGGTCTCAGTACTCATTAAACCTGGGACTTGGAGAAGTGCAGGAGAAGCTGAGCATTTAATCCCCTTAGACTTCTTTATCAATTCCTTTCCTTATCTACCTATTCTGAGCAATGTCTTCTTGGAGACAAATCAATGATCTGGGCTCTTAAAGTGAAATGATGTGATGACTCTTGGATATAATACATATTTCTATTAAACACACCTTACTCCTCACCAAGAAATTCCACAATACCCTGTGGAATGAGAACACAGTTTTGATAATGGGAGTTGTGTGATGGTGGATGAGTCCTTATAAAGCAGAGTAGAAATACCAGACTACTTGAACCAGCTTTAGGAGTCATATTTCAGTATTAGAGGTAATGCCCCCTTGATCAACCCTCTTAAGCTTACCCTGCTTATGGAGGAGAGATATGCAGGTTAGCAAGGTTGTAGTTCTGCTCAGGGGCTAAGGGGAGTGATGGAAATTTCTAGTGCTGTGCCTCAGGTGAGCATGCAACTTTTCCAGGAATGCAACTTTTCCCTCACAACATCTTGTTCAAAAATAGAGGAAGGCATTGCAATTCTCAAACTCATGATTGTCAAGCCCCTGTACTCCACTTGTCTGAGGAGCCCAAGAGGAAATTCTTACCATGGAGGGAGCTGTGGTGGAATGGTATGGATAGTTGGTTTTTCTTTCACATGGCTTTTCTTGCTCCAAGTGAGACAAGGCTGATGTGCTGTCCCAGTACAGCAGCCCTGTGCAAAAAAATCTCTTTTCTTGTTGAACTCATGTTCTGTACCTTGACTTGAATTCTATATAGTTAAGGTCTGATCCTGTGTAGATCAAACTTGTTGATTATAAGATCTTTGCAGGAGAACATGCTTTGGTTCATAAGGGCTCTATACAGCTCTCTTTTTCTGAAACTAATTCTCATAATGGCTTTCTCTTTGGAAATCTCTGCATCAGAAAAGACTGTACAGTACTAATGTAAAATAAGTAAGATGAAACAATGATTTGCTAGTAATTGCTGCACTCTAATCCCATACTCATACCCGTCACTCACAAGCTGGGAATTATTTTAGACTCTTGCTGAAGCAGTCCCTACTCCCACCACTGACAAACAGGAGGACCTTCAGTTCCAAGCAATCTTAAAAAATAATGAGTCCTAACTAAAGAGTTGGCAGAGCTACAACTAAATCTAAATGTAGCTGCAACTAAATCAAAGTAGCTCCAGCTAATGACTCTAGGCTCACTTTATGGGTGACGGATAAAAATGGTATTTTTAGAGTGGGATTAGTTTCATTTTGCTTTAGATCTTGAAAATACCACAGATACACCCTAAAAATGCCTGTTTCATTCAGTTGTCTACACAGTGAGGTCAGTGAGCCAGCTTAGATGTGGACAGGTACATTGGGAATAACTAAAGTTTGGGGAGATGAATCCCACTCTGTGTCTCAACAGTTTCTTCCCCTACAGCAATGTACATGTATACATGTAATGAGAACTAACCTGTTATGCTTTATCTCTATTTGACTATTTTTCTCTTAGTGTATTGTAGTACCAATTGTAGTACCAATTCTAAGATTCCATATGGATTGGCTTTTCCCAGTTTCTTAGGAGAATGCAAATGAGCAAGGACTTGCCTGTTGATTTGTCTTAATTGTGGAACTGCTGC